GGTCCAGGCTCTGCTGGCTTCCGACTGACAGCTTGCCGCTGAGCTCTTAAAGCGATACTACCATTATTTTATGAATCCTGGTAACCCTTTTATAATCTCTCCTATTCTCTTCCCTAGCCTATCAGATCTCTCTTAGCTCTATTTATACCTCCCTCTTACATCACTTCCTTGCCCTGTCATGGTCTATTGTAGCCCGAGATTGCGTTCTGTATACTTGTGTGGTTATCCGTATTTTCTGGCTTCCTTGACCCTTGGCTTAGTTTCTCGTTTATTCTTCCTTCTCCTGCCCTGACCTCGGCTTGTTTGATTATTCTGTTACTCTCCTTACTTTTCTTCACGTTAAGTCTGGCCACTTTAAGGACCGGTAATACGTCTAGCTTGGGTTGCCTGTTAGTCCTATAGTTAGCGTGTTGGGGAACCTAACCTTGACAATTGGACGCTCTTTTTGCATTGTGATTGGTTGACTGTATAGAGAGAACATTTTAAATGCAACGTATTTAGTGAACGTATCTGAAGGACATTCAATAAATCTTGTTTCATTGATGGTCCCCAGAGGAAATGGCTGATTTGAAGTCTATAGGAACATCACTGAATAAATAAACTTGTAGTAGTAATTTCAACGCAGAAAAGGGTAATTGCATAAAGAAAGTAGATTTACACATCTTCAAAACTGGCTCTTGCAATATAGTATGAAAGCCCGATAAAATTTACTTGCTGCTTATCATTTGAGAGTTCAAACCAATATTTTGTGGACTTCATCAAGGAATCTTTGACGGAATCTACTGAGTTTTAGTTGATTCCAGCTGATCACCTTGCCTTGCAAGTAAAAGTAATAGCCCAAAAGAAAAAAGATCCTTATCTTTTAACATGACCATTCCAGCAATAACCTATAATACTTTAGTAAATGTGGGAGTACTACAGATAAGCTCTTATTCATATATATGTGATTGTAAGCATTTCTATGAAATCCTCTATTGAGGTTCTGTGTACAAATCACCTGTAACTAAATTAAATGTAACAAAATATAGCGGCTCTACTGCATCATCCAACAAATGTCGTAAAATCTCTTCTTCTAATATTTATCTTTTATATTATATATTACTGATCTACTATTGATCTTACTAAATATATTACACTGCAATAATGGAGACATGCTGTTTAGAAGAATCTACCCCCCCCCTCTACTATTAACATCTGGTGCGCAGAAAGCTGCAAGTATTTTATTGCATTTAAAAATGGGTAAAAAAATGATAATATTGGAAGCACATGACTTTCTTTACTGAACTAAAGAAACCTATTTTGAACTAGAGATTCAGAGAATTTCAGCATGTATGTCTTTAGGGGTTGAGCAACCCTAGGTCTTGGTGCTGGTTGAAAAGTTTCAAGGTATTGAGGGTCAAGACTATTGGTTATTAGATACCCCATGGGCACATCATGTATAGTGACTAAAGGACTGACATTTACACCTTACTGCTGGGCATTCACAGGGGGGGGGGCGGTAATTTCAATTCCCCTACAAAAATTATTATTATTGTATTATTTTGCATTCGTATACATCCTTTAAAGTAGTGGAAGGCAGAATCTAGCTAAACTTCCCTAATTAAAATAATTATTGAAGTGGGTGGTGGAATTGCATGTCTATAGGTTTTTGCACATCACTGTGTTTACAAGGATCAGAGGGAAAGATGAAAGGGGAAAAGGAACATTGTGCATCAGTATCAGAGCAATTGTCATATGTCATATCATGCTTGGAGTGTCCCTTTAATGTCTGGATGAAACAAATATCATTTTCAATTTAGTTTTGTCATCTAGTTTATATTAAAGGTTAATTAACGTATGTTGAGTTGTTTTTCAGTAATTATAAATATAGACAAAAAATATTTTTTTAACATTTGTAGTTAAAGGGGCACAATATATTTATCAGAACCCTTACAGCTTGATGTCCCTGCAGGCCGGTGGAGGCAATGTTATGCTTTGGGCAATGTTCTGCTGGGAAACCTTGGTTCCTGGCATTCATGTGGGTGCCACTTTAAGATGTACCACCTACCTTGAAATTGTTACACCCCTTGATGGCAATGATGTTCCCTGATTGTAGTGGCCTCTTTCAAAAGGATAATACACCATGCCAAACTGCAAAAATTGTTCAGGAATGGTTTGACGAACACGACAAAGAGTTCAAGGTGTTGCATTGGCCTCCAACTTCCCTAGATCTCAATCCAATTGAGGGTCTGTGAGATGTGCTGGAACAACAAATGTTGTCCCCATCCTTCAATTTAAGTGACTTAAAGGTTCTGCTGCTTATGTCTTGGTGTCAAAGGTCTTGTAGAACCTCGAAGCATCAGAGCTGTTTTGGCAGCACAGGGGGGATTTACATAGTATTGAGCAGGTAGTTTTAATGTTCGGTGTATATGATGATTGGCAATTTCAATTTTCATATGTTATCTTTTTATTAAAAACTGATTAAAAATGTAGCTTGTTATGGTGTATGTTTTGTATATAATGTATACATGTGCTGATGAAGTGTATGATTGCACTTGCATGTAATATGTTCAGGGACTGGGTAAATTGTGTATAATTTATGTAGCTTTGTTTATGTACACACTGCAATTATGAGAATTGTAAATTAGTTGTGTTTAATATAAATATATATATGTATAATCTGTGAACTACTTGTGTTTAATGTGCTTATGTGCCATGTTCAATATGCATATAATCTGTTGATAGTTTGTAATATGTGTGTAATATGGATGTGAGCTAGAATAAATTAGAATGTTTATAAGAATAAATTAATAAAATGTTATATAGCAATATGGTTATTCATTCCTTGTGGTAATTTTGAATATTCTGGTAAAGGTAACGGCTATTAGAAACGGTAACCAATAACCTTAATGAATTAAATGTTAAACATGATCTAATCAATCATTCTTCTACCGTCAAACATGTAATGACACGCCACATGTTGTTTTGCTGCTTTTTGCCATAATCTCAAGATCCCGATGTTGTATAATCTTTGAAATCCCTGGAGGTCAGGTGATCTTTTCCAATAAATGTCTGCCAGGGATTTTTTTGGCTAGTTAAAAGAAGAAAGACAGTAGTGATGGAATATATGCAGTGGTTGTTCTTTGTCTACTAAAGCCATAAAATGACAACTAGACATTATATAACAATGTATAACAACATCTCTAATTAAAACCGTACTTATGTAGATGACCTTTACTAAGCGCAGGTCAACGGTAATGTCTCCTCTACCCGTGATGACATATGCATTTCTTTATTCATGGTCAAAATTGATCATTTGTAATCCTGGCATACATCCTGGAATTACTTGGCTAGCAATAATGAAAGAATGAACATGTGGGATATAAAGAGAATTGTACATAATCATAATTTAGTAAATATAGAACATATTTTGCATTAGAGTATTATATTGCATTAGACATTCTACTTCAACTGAATATACACAATGGAGTATTTTCAGAACCTCATACATTTAGCTTAGGTTGAAGAATTTAAGTCTGTGGCTTGGAAATTTCATATGTTTCTGCTTATATGTGGAAATAATTCCATCTTGGTCCAATAAAATGTACAGAATGTGAAACAAATAGTGAGACCCTTTCTTTTCTAGCCCCTTATTGTTGTTGTTTTTTTTTTTTCATCTGGAAAAGAAAAAGGAAGATGAACAGTTAAAAGTATTTGATGTGCGCTCAAACTATAACCTTTACGTTTATCGCGCAAGATGCATTGTATACTTGGAGGTCAATTTAAAGACCATTAGCTTTTATTTCTGCTATCACAGCAAAATTTACACCCACATTACATTTACTACATGGTAGTTTCAGCAGAGTTAAATTGCTTAAATCACAGTTTTTTCACAGGAAACTACCAAAAATGTAATCTACTAAATGATGTTGCAGCTTTTAGTATAAAATCATTTTTGATTCTGAGTTTTTAAATAGTGGTGATTTATATATACAGTATAATGTCAGAGCCACAATGAAGTGCACATAAAAATTAAAACATATTGGGTCTGTGGGGTGATACATTAACGATGACACTGCCAATCAGTTTGAAAACGTTGGAGAGTCACCAATATATTATTATTAGGGGAAGCAGGGACATGTCTATCGCGAGGCAAACAAGGCATTTGCCTTGGGCGGCACTTTGCAGGGGGCGGCAAAAAAAGCCACCCCCAAACGCCCAGGCAGATCCCTTGCTTGCCTCATGTCCTGGGGAGCTCAAGAGTTGGCCCCTTTTGAGCCCCCCCGAGGCGGGCGGCGGGCAGCGAGTGAGTGGGCAGCGAGGGAGCATGTTTACCTTAGCTCTTTCTGCTCAGATCCCTCCGTGCCGCTTAATGAAGTCAGGAGCTGGAATATGACATTACCCCGCTCCCAGTATCACTAAGCGGCGCGTGGGAGCTGAGCAGGAAAATCAGATCTCCCTCACTGCCTACTTAGGCTGTCCGCTCCCTGCTTTCCTGCCCAGCAGCCCTACTGGACAGGTAAGTAATCCACTCCAGCTCTCCCAGGGTGGCTGGGTGGATTTAAAATAAAATTTACAAAATAATAATTTGTGAGTGCTGGGAGAAGTGTGTGTGTATGTCTGTAAGTGTGTGTATATATGTGTGTCTGTAAGTGTGTGTGTGTGTCTGTAAGTGAGTGTGTCTGTAAGTGTGTGTGTGTGTGTGTCTGTAAGCAGTGGTGTATCCTGGTTTTGTGCTGCCCTAGGCAGGACAAAACTCAGGCGCCCCCCCTCCCCCCCCCCACCCAACCCTTCCCCCCGCCCCACCTTCTAAATACACACACACACAGTCAGACACACACACACACACACAGTCAGACACACACACACACACACAGTCAGACACACACAAACACAGTCACAAACACACACACACACACAGACACACACAGTCACATACACACACACACAGTCAGACACTACACAGACACACACACACACACACATACACACACAGTCAGACACAAACACACAGTCACATACACACACACAGTCAGACACATACACAGACACACACAGTCACACACACACACACACAGACACACACACACAGTCAGACACAAACACACACACAAACACACACACACACAGTCAGACACACACACACACATACACACACACACACACACACACACAGTCAGACACACACACACACACACATACACACAGTCAGACACACACACACACACATACACACACAGTCAGACACAAACACACACAGTCACATACACACACAGTCAGACACATACACAGACACAAACACAGTCACACACACACTCACAAACACACACACACATTAACTTTTTTTAAATTTAAATCCCCCCCCAACCTCCTTACCTTTGGGAGTGCTGGGGGGGTGGGGTCTCTCTCCCTGGTGGTCCAGTGGCTGCAGGGCGGGCGGCGCTGGCAGGCGGGCGGCCGGCGAGGGAGCACTTCCCATGAGCTGACTGCTCAGCTCCCTCGCGCGTCGGCTGCAGAGTGAGGCTGGGAACCGGAAGATGACGTCATCTTCCGGCTCCCAGCCTCACTTTGCGGTGCGCGAGGGAGCTGAGCAGTCAGCTCATGGGAAGTGCTCCCTCGCCGGCCGCTCGGGATGTCAGTTAGCCGCAAGGCTAACAAGGCATCTGCCCTGGGCATTTGGGGGGCGGCGTTTTTTGCCGCCCCCTGAAAAATGCCGCCCAAGGCAAATGCCTTGTTTGCCTTGCGGCTAATACGTCCCTGTCTGTAAGTGTGTGTGTGTGTGCCTGTAAGTGTGTGTGTCTGTAAGTGTGTATGTGTGTATGTGTCTGTAGGTGTGTATGTGTCTATAAGCGTGTGTGTGTGTGTGTGTCTGTAAGGGTGTGTGTGTGTGTCTGTAAGTGAATGTGTGTGTGTGTGTGTGTGTGTGTGTCTGGCAGTGTGTGTCCAAGTAATAGTGTGTGTGTATGTCATTTTTTGGCAGTGTATATGAGAGTGTGTGTCTATCAATGAGTGTATGCGTCTGTCAGTGAGTGTGCGCCTGTCAGTGAGTGAGCGTCTGTCAGTGAGTGAGCATCTGTCAGTCAAAGTGCGGCCTTGACGGGAAGGAGTGGGGAAAATTTCAATCGGGGGTGGAGGGGTGCCCGAGCACCGTCCTGCCTAGGGCAGCATAAATCCTAAATACACCACTGAGGGGAAGTTTCCTCTAACCATGCAAGCGTAGGACTAGGAATAAAAAAATGAATTGTGTTCCAACATACATCTTCTCCCCAACATATATCTATAATGCTATCTTTGTTCCCTTGATTATTACTCATGAACCCAGATTTGTTTGGGGTGCTTTTTGTATTTCAAATTTTATTTAAATGATAGCAGCAAGGTTTCTCTGCTTGAAGCTATAATTAACCACTTTCACCATGGTTTGTACTTGCATTAAAGAAGTATTCCAAACATATAAAACACTTCACCTTGTCTGTCCACTCCTTTATAAAAGTGCTAATGTTATGAGAGAAGATCAGTTTTTTCCCCCCGAAACAATGTATTAATTAATTAGCTTAATTAAATTAAAAAGAGTATCAGCAACAATATGTTTGCCGAACTCCCCAGATGTTCGGTTACATTTTAAGAACAACAAAGCATCATACATTGTGTGTATCTGTCAGGATCGTGACAGGGATCCAATACGCAGAGTGCGGACAGGAGGAGGTACGTATACCGGACCTTAGAATGGCCGGACTAACGTATAGACAAGACAAAAATGGTCAAAAGGTAAGCCGAGGTCGAGGGAGCCGGAGGACAGGTAAGCGAGGAACAAGCCGGGTCTAAGGAGAGGAGAGAGAAGCAGAACAAAAGTACAAGTCAGGTCAAAACCGAAAAACACAAAGAGAGAAACGCGCTGAGTGACTAGCAAGCTAGAACCACGACAGGGCAATGAGCAGTAGTATAAGCTTCCCTTAAATACCCTGTCACCTTAATTATGACCACGCCCCCAAAAGGTCCGGAATTGCGGTTCCCGGCGGTTCACGTTGATGATGACGTCATGACGTCGATGATTGGTCGTCGCATCATAAAAGGGGGAGGAGCTAGCGCGGCCGGCGCGAAAACGGCCGAAAATGCCAAAATGTTTAGGCATAGGAGCCCCTTTGGAAGAGAGACTGACCTCCTCAGATGTTGAAATTACAGGTAACATGACAGTATCGAAGAAGAGAGTTCCACATTAGGTAGACACTAGAAAACAAGTTACTATAAAACAAAGGAACAACCAGTAATAATGTGCATACTGAACCCAATGATAGTTCATATAGACCAGCACTTAGAAGTCTGTGTACTGGTACCAGCTCAAAGAATAAAGAATATTCTTACATGACTTTTATATTTTTATAATATATTTTTTATCTGATGTTCATTTGCATGTTGACTTTGGGTTACCAATGTGTCATGCCAAGAAAAAACAAACCCCGCAAGTCGTGAAATTCTCTCTTTTCCTGTGCTACTGAGCCTTTCCCCGCCACTTAGTGAATCCACCTCTTAAGTTTTTCAGGTAATTCTAGAAATAACACATTTCATAACAATAGCCCGACCTACTGTTCATAAAACAAACCTTATCTTTAACCAAGTGGCACAACTTTGTTAGTTGCTGTAAGATGTGCTCACTTGCATCATTCCCAGCCAGCCATCGGGCCATTCTACGAGTCAGAAGTTGGGTCCTTAAAATACAAATCTTAAAAAACACCCTTTTTACAATAAAATAACGCTCTTAAAGAGATCCATCGTGACTCATTTAAAACTGTATGTAAGATGTGCTAAAATCACATCTCAAAATATCAAAATATTTTGTGTTAATAAGTTACATTTTTTTTTTTGCTCAAATTGTCGTCCAATATCATTAATTAACAATAATTCCAAAAATTATGCAAATACCTTGGCAAAAAGATTAGCAAAAGCAATTCCATGTATGATACATAAAGATCAAGTAGTTTTTTTTTTAAGTAGACAGGCCCCATATAGCGCTAGAAGATTCATTAATTTAATCCATCAGATTAAGTCTAATCAAATGCCTTTTTTACTTTTATTGTTGGATGCAGAAAAGGCATTTGAAAGAGTGCAGTGGGGCTATTTAAAGGATCACTATAGTGTCAGGAAAACAAAGCGGTTTTCCTGACACTATAGTGCCCTGAGGGTGCCCCCACCCTCGGGGTCCCCCTCCCGTGGCGCTGAAGGGGTTAAAATCCCTTCAGTAGCTTACCTTATTCCAGCACTGGGCTCCCTCGGCGCTGGTGACCTCTCCTCCCCGCGACGTCAATGCTTTCCTATGGACGCTCTGCGTGATGGAGGAATAATATACCTCTAGTGTAGCAGATGTGCCTCTAGTGGCTGTCTGGAAGACAGCCACTAGAGGCTGGCTTAACCCCAAATGTAAACATAGCAGTTTCTCTGAAAACTGCTATGTTTGCATCTGAATGGTTAAAACCTGAGGGACCTGGCACCCAGACCACTTCTTGAGCTGAATTGGTCTGGGTGACTATAGTGTCCCTTTAAGAGAAGTTATGTATAAATGTCATCTACCTTCACCATTCATTAAGACAGTATTTTCTTTATGTTATGAGACCACGGCTAGAGAATCAGCCTCCGACTTCCTTTTCCATAGTTTTCAATTAACTAATGGAACCAGACGGGGTGTCCATTGTCTCCACTTTTTGTGTTGGCAATGGAACCCCTGGCATAGTTACATAGTTACATAGGCTGGAAAGAGATATGTGTCCATCAAGTTCAGGCTTCCTCACTTTTGTTCTTGCTGTTGATCCAAAAAAGGTAAAAAAAAAAAAACAGTTTGAAGCACTTCCAATTTTGCAACAAACTAGGAAAAAAATTCCCTCTTAATCCCAGAATGACAGTCAGATTTTAACCTTGGATCAAGGAGCTATTACCATGCATTGAAAAATTCCTCTAGTTGCTGTTTAAACATCTGTAAGAACTTTGATAAAACCTTCAGGCAGAGAATTCAATATCCTTATTGTTCTGGAGTTGATTAGAAATTCACCTGAGATTGAGGGCATTTCTGTTGGCAAAGAAATACACAAAATAGGCCTTTTTTGCCGACGACATAATTATGTCAATTCAAAATCCAATTACATCAATATCACCATTATTTTCTATTTTGGAGGAATTTAGTGGAGTCTCTTTTTACAAGATTAATGCAAATAAAACTCAAGCTTTAACTTTTCCATATTCCATGCTTTGATCTGTATAATTTGAAAGAGGTTTATAAATCCGATTGTAGAGATTCCTTTATTAATTATTAAGGAATTAAACTATGTAAACACTTGGCACATATGGCCTGGCCTTCAAAAGGAGATGGAAAGATGGTGTGAGTTAGAGATTTCCTGTGTAACGGATCGACGGGCACCCCGACTGGGTACCTCAGTTGAAGGATGCTCCTAGCGCTTCCTGAGGGCTCCAAGCACTCCAGCAGACACTGTAGACTCCTCCAGAGAGCAAGGCAGGAACAAGCTCTTACAAGAGCTTAGTAGTGATTTAGCAAGGGAGTATGACAAGCATAGCAATCCCTTGTAGCAGATTCCCGGCACTCAAAATTGAGGGTGAAGTAGAACTTTTATTCAAACACTCTGCTTTTATGCCTATTCTACAAACATAGTACCGGCCACAGGGTTTTGAAGTACAACCAATCAATACATACAATACACTCAGACACTCCCACACAAAATCCTCCCCTCTGCCTGTGATATAATTACTGAACACAATGGGCTAACGTAATTATCACAGGCAGGAAAATACACAGTTTTGCACAATATTCATAACTCCAAAAGTATACATCACATTCACATAAAATCAGCATATTCCAAATACAAACATACGTCAAAATCATACAAATTGGTCCAGTGGGTGAAAAGTTAGTTGGAAATCCCTTTGTGACCACCTGCAAGCATGGCTTGGGTGTGGTAAGCCAATTATCTCCAGCATACAGAAAATAGTTCTCTTCACAACAACAGTAAAAACACATAAAAAAATACATAATTCCTATCATACTGAGCAGAACCCCCACATTCAACCTATCTCCAGATAGCTTGGATCTGAGCGCTCACTATATCCAAACAGAACTCAGATCCCACGAACACAGTGAAATCATCATGGGGTTAAACCATAGCAAGGGCTGATGAGAGACAGAGGAGGGACAAAACAGCAAGTTCCAACTGGTCTGGCAGTGTTCCTGGGACAACGCCCTGCTGGAGAACAATAGACAGGAAACGGGGGAGGGGCACACCTTCCCATATCTTCTAAGGGGCAGAAAAAGTGTTTCAAAATGCAATAAGCCCAAATCCCAGGGGCCATAGTCACATGGCAGGAGGCTGGCAATCAGTCTCCAATGCCCAGTGGCGAGGCTAGTTTCGCCACATCCTGGTTGGGAAGGTTGGCATTTATCAAGATGACCATCCTA